AACTTTATATTCAATCATCTTGGTTTTATATTCTTTTCATCCATGTAATTAAGCCCTAAAATTTGAATTTAGTTAGCATGAATAAGTTGAATTTATAGAAGATGGTCATTGCTAGTTGCTTGTTACATAGAGTTTTAGAGCTGTGACTTTTTCTGTGGCAGATAAGTTTATATTGTACTGGTTATCTATTGCTCCATTGCTTAGTTAGGGATGGATTATTTGGTTTCGTATCAGGCATTGCTAGAATATGAAAAAGATTTTTTTTTTTCTTTTGTCAGGACATTCTTTCCTTGGGGCTTCAGTACTTTTCTTTTCTTTTTTTTTTTTTTTTTGTTTATGCCAAATTTATTTTGTTAGATCAAGGCGGCTTAAATGGGCACAATGGACTTTCATACTTTGATAATTCTCACTGCTCAAACTTTTACCAAAATTTTGTTGTTTAAAGTATACAAAAAATTGAAGTATTAAAGTATTGAATTTTGAAAAATAAAGAGTTCATAAATATTAGGGGATGCTCCGCATTATTGGTTATTTTTTTGGGGTGGGAGGGGAGGGGGTTCTTGAACTTTAATTTGCTTCAGAGTTGTATTCTGCTTTGGGCTTTCTTGCAAAGTGGTTTCCTAAGCCACGTATCCATGAATTTGTTCAGGCCTAACCCATAATTCATCCACATAAATATATCATACTCTTTGTTTCCAAAAGAAAAAGGTTAAAACTGTTCTCTGTTTCCATGCTAGCATGCTAGAACTGCAACTATTTGTGGTCATTTTGCTTTGGAAGAGGACAAGAAGCAACAATTTGTAATTACGGGATTTCATGTGTCATTGCATATGTCCGGGTGAAAAGCCTCCAATGAATTCTTGTTGGCTTGATAAATTTATCTGTCTCTTGTGGATGATTGATTGTACTTGCATAATGTGCTGAATCTTAGTACATCCTGAATGCAAACTCTGAGAATCTGGAGACCATGTAATAATTGAGCCCATGCCCACATAGCCCATAGTATTTTTTTCATCTATTAAGTCATCAAAAACTTTATTCAGTAACCTAGCATCTAATCTTATTGTATATGATCCATCTTTTAGAAAATTCTGGGATTAAGAAAAGGTGTTTAAATAATTTTATTTTCTTTTGAATTGCTATTATTAGCAGATTTGGTTTGCTCCAAGGATCATGATAGTTTGGTATTCTTTTTCATTTATTTTAATTTGTGCTTTGGTTACATATAATGACTTATTAAAGTTGCACTATTATTAGTTTGTGATTGTTGACCTTGATAATGTAAAAATGAGGTATCTTACCATGAAAACAGTTTGGTGTATCAAAACATTATTTGGAGAAAAATGATTCTGTTAAATTTATTTTCATCTAAGGGCATTTTTGCTACTATTTTTTAGTTTTTAAAATTCATCATGCTATGCTTATGCGATATTTTTTAATTCATTTTTATATTATCAATTATTTATTTGTTTCTTTGCACAGGAGGCATATAGTAAAGATATGACTGCAGAATACGGTCCAGATGTGTCACAACATCCTGTGCTTGATGTTGAGAAATGGATCAAGGCAACAGGTGAACCATCAAAGGGCCGAGTATATGGGTTTGGCACTCGTCGACATGCTAGCGAAATTCTTGGTCCTCAAATTTCTACACCTAGACAGAGGGGAACATTTCAACCAATCATGAATTTGACAACAACTGATGAGTTGAAAAGAGAAACAGAGGAGGCCAAAAAGGCAGCAGAGGATGCTACTAAACGGTTGGAGGAGGCTATACAAAGGGAGGAAGATTTTCGCCAACAAGTACAAGATATTCAGTTTGATTTAGCTATTACTCGGTCTGAGTTAGCCTCAGCTCAGTCTGAATTGGTTGCAACAAAGAAAGATATCCCACGTCTTGTGGAGTCTGGCATTCGTCAAGTTTTACAAAAATTAAAAATAAAAATTCCCAAAATGTTGGTAGTGTAGAAAGGAATGAGTTAGGTAAATCTATTGATAGGGAATTTGAGAAAGATAACTAGTTAAAGATTTTGGATATTGAATATTGTCTATTTATTTTTTTATGACTATTTTTTGTTAAATGGTACTTGATTGAGTATTTTATAATTCATATTAGTTGTGATTTATTATTGTGGTGATTTGATTTAGGTTTTGCATAATTTGGTATTAATAAGCTATTATTAATATGGTAGGTGGTAATATTTATATTAAACAATTATTTAATTTTTTTGTAATATGTGATGGAATTTGTGAGTTTTGTGATGGAATTTAGAATTAATTTTGTTAATTTAGTGATTGAAATTAGCGACAGATTTAAAAGAATAAAAAATTATTTTTGATTTACTAATAGAATTTAGTGACAGAATTTATAGCAAATTTGTCACAAATAATAATAATTATTTTTTGTTTGGTGACCAACTCTGTGATGGAAAAGTCCATCACAAATATAGAATCCATCACCAATTTTATAAATCTGGACATAAATTTGTGACAGAAATTACTTTTTATTTAATGATGGAAATTCCATCACAAAATTAGTGCTGTGACGGACTTTATTTCCATCATAGAATTGATCAGTGACAAGGCATATAGTAACGGATTTGTGATAGATCAAAATCCATCACAGAATCATTTTTGTGATGGATTTTATTAAATCTATGATGGATTTTTCCCTTACTGAAGGGGTATTTTCTTGTAGTGAAAAATTTAAAGGTTTAAATGTTGCGTTACTCGTAAAATTTACCCGAGAGAACTGGCTGGACGCTGTTGAGGAGAATGGTTTGAGGCTAGGAGTTAGCTTGAGCTCGCTCACTGCTTTGAGTACTGGTTCACTCGTTGTGAACAAAGTGCGATCTCGTCGTTGATTTGAAAATCAGAATTGATAGACAGATCAAGAGGCGATGGTTGTAGAAGTTGCAACGGAGACAATTGTAGCAAAATTTGGCTCCCTGCACTACCTGCCCCGAGCTCATTCGCCACCCTTACTCTGCAATTTTGTTAATGAAGCTAACTAGGTAAAGAAAATCGCCCTTCTGTAAGTGAATCGGAAGTGCTTATTATTTTCTCTATTTTCACAAAAAATTATATATAGTTTTTATTCTTTGTCAACTAAAGTACAAATGTTCTCCATGCAACGGGATTTTTTTTTTTTATATTTATCATTTTTCTTTTAAGTTTTGAGCAAAATATCATTTGTTTCCATAGCCCTTTCTTTTGAGGAGCACCGTTGGAAGACAGAGATGAACTAGGGTTAAAAGTTTAAAAAAAAACCCCGGCCACATAGCTCAGAAATATGGAAGCTTAAGATTGATCCATGGAGCGAGGGATCAAAATTGGGCCGGATGGGATTTCCATAATCCACCCGATCCATAGTAAGATGAATTTGCAATACTCTTAACCCAAATGATTTTGGTACTTTCTAGTTTATACCAACTTTAATTTAATCAATTTTAGTCCCAAATTAAGTGGTGTAAATTTCTATATTATTCCGTGTGACCAATGGATTTAATTGAAAATATCACATTTAATGTGGTACCATGAAATATTTTATTGGTTTTGTTTTTATATTTAGTGTTTAAATAACTCATGCAATATATACATTGCCATGCAACGATAACAAAAAGAAATACACATGCGATATTTGACCTATCAATTTAGGGTGCGTTTAGCTGGATAATAAGACAGATTAAAATAAACTTATGCTATCTTATTACACATTCGGTACACATATAACGAAATCAGATAAAGACCATGAGATTGATATGTATCAACATACGCAAGATAGTGTTACAGAAAAAGAAGGGTGTGATAATTTTATCAGCTCTTATTCAAGTTCCTATTTTTCTTTTTTTTAACTAAAATGTATCTACTATTCATGCAGAAAAGACTAAATATAATCAAATTTTGAACATTCATAAAAATAAAGATGATGAACAATACTCACAAAAGTATTTTATTTAATATATTTTTTATCTTATTATCTTTAATTATTTTTTAATTAAATGTGATCAAATATTATATAAATATTATATAACTTAAGTAAAATTATCAATTTTATCCCGTCGAACTGTGTCCTAGTTCCAAATCGAACGCAACTTTACTAATGAAAATAGGGCGTGCGGGACAGGATAAGACGAGAGAGAGGATCCCCTGTTTGGATGGCGCAGGATGGACAAATTTATATTAATATTTATAACTTTTTTATTTATCAAAATGTATTCTATAAAAATTATTTATTAGAACGGATTTTTATCCACTGTACTTCTCTCCCTCCCTCTTTCGTCCTTCTCTTTTTGCCTTTATTGCAAAACTCTAAACCAAATCTTGTGGTAGAGCTCCATCCACATGTCCCATAGAGCCTTGCAACCAAGTTCCATCCGCCGTATTCTCTCTAAAAGCGAATTTTGAAAACTCAGTTTTTTAATAGAAATAGTATAAAATTATATTTTAGTAAATAATTTTTAAGAAACATATTTGGTAAGTAAAAAAACTTTTTAACATTAATATAGATTTCCAGTACAATGTCTACTGATTTTTTTTATTTAACTTAATATATATGTATTTTATTGCAATTTTAATATAAATTTATATAAAAATAAATATTTTTAATGTATATTATTTTATTTTTTAATAATTACAATAAATATTATAAAATATTTAATTATAAATCAAAAAGTTCTTAATAAATATTATCTATAAAAACAGTGAAAAGCTAAAGACGTGGAAAGATTTTAAATGCCGATTCTTTAATCAAACCGGAAGTCGTCGTCTTCCACAGTGGATGCAGGTACTTTCGACTTTTCCTTTTCTCCTCTCTTATTTTTTTTGGTGGAGACTGCAGTACAGTCCCTTAAAAAGGTTCTTAAAAAAGTTGTTTCAAATTTTATCCATATATACTAATTATTATTAATACGTGAATTACTCCACTAACCAAAATGTAATTATTTTAAAAAATCAAAGCAAAGTGTAAATATTTGGGACCAAAGTGTAAATACTGCACTTTAGTCGTCTTCTTCCTCGCTGTCGATACCCTCGTTGCCGCACCGCAGTCTGAGTGAAGCAATGGACTCATCTTCCAGCACATCATCGTCATGAGGCACGGCGATTTGGAGTCGATTTGCCTGCACGCCATCAACTCAAGGCGATCGAGTTGGATCCATTCTTCTTCTGCTCCAGATCTGCTATTCGGCGTATGTCCTCGCTGGCGCCAACATCCTCTGCAAGGCTTATGACCTTAGGTTGCCGCTTCCTGTCCTCCGCAAGCTTAAGCACACTGATCTTTAGCGCAGCATCCTCAAGGTGGGCTTTTATGGCATCAAGATCAGCGTTTGCCGATAGCCGAAACCGCCTCAAGAACTTTCCGGAAGCCCGCGCTCAGCCCTGTGCCACTTCTAGCCCTCCACCTCAGCCTCCGCCTTCCTTTCGCCGCTGATCCTGAGTACCCGGTTCTCCTCAACCTCGATCTTCACGTCATCCTTCCTTAGCCCCGGCACGTCCAGCAC